AGAGAATAGACGTGAGGATGAGGCAACCCAAGAAACCAACCTTTTTCTCAGTATAAAATCATTGGCAAGAAACAGTGGTCCAAAAACAATATCTTCTACTAACAATTATATATATAATCAAAATACGAGAGATACTACAGTCCCGTTACGAAACTATTTTGTCGTGATTTGTAACCATTAGATCATCACGTAACCGTCGAGGATAGTTGATCTAACGGTTACGAACCCCGACGGAATGGTTCTGTAACGGGACGGTAGCATTTCCCTTAAAATTTTTTCCTATATATATAATGAAAATATTCCCTATATACCATTCAACTGAGAGCTTACACAGATTCTCTTACAAATATCAAAAGTGAAAAAAAATAAAATTAAAAAAAAAAGGTGAAAATAAGACTGATTATGTTGACCATATCTGCTCTATTGTCCCTCCTTGTCTAGGAATCTATTAATTGTCCTAACAAATAAAAGAATTTTCATAACTGAAAAGAAAAAAAAAAAAAAATGATGAAGAAATCAAAACAAAACTCATGATAATCCCACTTGGCATCTTCAGTTGGATTGTCACTAACCTGCACGTGAAATTAATCTCTGCTTGTTAAAATGAAAAATAATCTTGTGGTCTTCATTGACACCTAGCTGGTGAAGAATGGTTTGCTTCGACTTTTTATGAGTTCCGACAAGAATGTGACCGGTTAATCAGAGGTTCTATCGAGCCATGTCGTGTGATGAAGTTAATTTAGCAGCCAAAAATTGTGAATATCTGCACCTGATCATCGCAACGAGTCGAAGAGAATTAGCCAAAAATTGGAATTCTTCATCATCAACACTTAAAAGGCGCAAACTTGTTAAAGCTCGATTTTCGTGTCGAAAACTTGTTCTTTAGGATAAGCAAGGCATTTACTGTATTTTACATTGTATTCTATGTAATGGAAAATTTTAGAAATTAAGGAAAAGAAAAAGAAGGTACCTTGGGCACATGATATTCTGGGGCATCACAAATATATCCTAATGTCAAAAGAAGTTAAGTTCGGTAAAACCATGCGAGTACGGTAAAAGCTCCTCCACCTCTATTTTGGAGCTCGAGCAACTCATGCTTTTTCTCAATCTATTGGGGACCGACTCGATTTCAGCCCAGAAGACGCTAGAAACGGGTCTATGATCCGAGAACCTCGATTCTCCTCGGGTGTATGATAATTGCTGGAGCCCATCACCAGACCACAATATTCTGTCACACCTGCATATAATTTTGTACTTTCAAATGCATCTTATTCTCCGTTACTCAATCAGAATCTAAATTTCGGACTCGAATTTTGGTTCGACTTTTATACACCAACTAAACACTTCAGTTGCTTCTATTTGATGGTAGCTTCATATTAATGAGGTCTTACCAGGCAGGAGTTCTTCGCTTTTCCTTGGGGTGCAAATCGTCACCGGCGTATCTGTCTGAATTATGAGAATATTTATACGTTGGCGGAAAATAGATTTTCCCTTCTTTCCACCCAACAAAAACTCGGCCTCGTCTCTGCTCAATCCTCAGCTGTCAAAAGAAATAAATAATTTTTTTTTCATCAATTTAACAATGCCGAGCTTCTTCATAGTTGTTTGAGAACTAATCGAAGAAGCTATCAGGGAGGGTATAAATAATCATACTTGATCTTTTTCCAGTAGTGCCCTCCAGTTTTGCATCTCAACGAGTGCCTTTGCCAACCGGTACGGCAGGGCTATCCTATAGTTCAAATCTCCAAGCCAAATGATTCGGCTACATTTTATTTTTAAAAAGAAATCATCAGTTAATAATAAGAATTAATCATAAGGCAAAAACATGAAAACATGTTGAGACAAATGCTTGATATTTTCACTTATACAAAGGATTGTTTCTTACTCATGTTCAAGAATTGTCAAGGGGGACTTTTCATCATTCGCGCCGTTAACCCGTGGAAATCTCGTGTTCTTCAGTATCTCCTGAACATCGGCATTTCTACGTAGCTCGTCCCCATCCTTTTGACCCGACGTCAGGTGGCTGCACACAAAGCACAGGCTCGTCTCGTGCAGCAACATGCTGATCGAAATCGAACCCTGCAAAAAAATACAAATCAACATCTATACAGCAAATTAATCCGCAATCACTCATTTCTTGAAGAAAAAGAAAAAAGGAAAAAAAAAAAAGAAAAGAAAAGAAAAAGACTTCACCTTATTACCAAGATAACCCATAAGCCCACGGCCTACACACGAAATCTTAATGTTCCGAACATGCTCCCTCAGTTCACCCCGAACCCACACAGTCAAGAAAATCCCAACCATTTGCTTCCTTGCGACCAGAGAGTATTCAGACCATTCGGACCCCACACAACCATTGTCCACATGCTGCATTGCACTCGGAGAGTCCTCTGGAGGGCCATAATCCTCTTCCGAGCCCCATCTCGAGTAATCACTCGGCCTCCGGCTCGACGAGTAGTCGCTCGGCCTGTGGCTCGAAGAGCAGTCGCTCGGCCGGCAGTAACTCTGCCTGTGGCCAAAAATCACGCGGTCACAAACGCTGAGTCGCCTCTCGAGGCGAGCTTCGTTGGTGTCCGAACCCCAGTGGTGTGGGGTCTGAAACGAGCGCCGGTGCATGAAGGCCGAGGCTTTGTGACTGCTCGATCCCTCGAAATCGGCATTCCACTCGGCCACTGGGTCAGGGACTGGCGAGGGTGTGTGCTGGGTCGAGTTGTTGTTTAGCGTTCGTTTGATTAGGGAAAGCCACTTCTTGGCGGGCCCATTGTCCTCCGCGCCTAGGATGTTGCCGGCGTTTAGGGGAACTATTTCTTGAAAACTGAATGAAAAATTAACTAAATTTAGCATAATCTTCTGTGTTTTTTTTTTCTTTTCATTTTATGAGAAAATGAATGAGCAAGGAGAGAAAATTTTACCCGAGAAGGTATATGTCAGCTGGAGGAGCCGAGTGGAGCCAATCGTCTAAATTCATGTTGCACGGAGGTGATTTTCCCCCGACGTTCCACGTTGATACAAAGATGCTGCTTGAAGAAAATGTTTGAGAAGATTTTACGAAACTTGAACTAAACAACCGGATAAATGTGTATATGTATGAGGATGAACCTGTAATTCTGGATGTTTAGAATCTGGGGGTCATCAAGATAAGCTCTGCCTCGCCTCGAACGAGAGCGCGAACGAGATAATGATCGCTCCATACCTTTAGCTGGATTTTCTGACAACAAGTGCAGTTAATAGCAGCATAATTCGGAAATTACATGAACGAACGTGTTTGTAGTTGACATGACGTGATATTAGAGAGCGGCATTAGAAAGTTTACCAACCTGTTTTCGTTTTCTTGATTGTACATGGTTCTCTCTCAGAGAAGCTGCTCCTCCATCTCCTATCACCTCCTAACAGAAAATCGTTCGACAACAATCGTCAAAAGAGTCGTGCATTATTCGTCGAAAGCCACAATTAATCAAAATCGACTTAAATCTCGAAATGAAGGCATAACTTAACTAGGAAACCATAGTAGACAAGTTAGAAAAAAACAAAATTTACATGATGAAACATGTGGAAGCAGCACAATGCTGAAATAGTCAAGAATAACTTTTTTTTTTTAAAAAAAAAATAATAATTTAGAGAGAAAGAAAAAAAAAAAAAAAAGAAAAACAGCTATTGTTTGATTGTTGGTTAGTCAAAAAGACAACCCCATGAAAGACAAAAAGGATAGAATAACTAACAAGAATATAATTAAGAATTTGTTTTGGTTTCATTGGCATCTCAGCAGCCAATCATAGGCCTTATTATTAGGACCTTCAAAAAAACCTCTGTAAATGCAGAAAAACGAGATTTTACCGAAGCTAGCACTCGTTCAAAACAAGAAAGACCAATTACAACTCCAAAATACAAGATTCAAATGACTCACCTCCATAAACAACATCATGGGCTTGTGTTTCTACACTTTTACACTTGCTATTGAACCATTTTCTGACCAGTTTCTTTGACCACGAGAGCTTCACATAATGCCCAAAAATTGTAAAAAAAACAGTAGAAAACCTGAATAACTAAAATTAAATAAATAAATAAATACCTTGCTGTTCTTGGAATTTTCATCTTTCATCGTCAACGCTTATTTCTTCATGCGCACTCTTTATACACCCTTTTCCCCCTTCTTCCAAAAAGATGGGATTTTTATTCAAAATCAACTAAATTCGTCTAATTAAACGAACCCTTTTAAAGGGCAATGGCGGCCATGGACAGTTTTCGTAGAATCCCAGAAGCTAGTTTCTGGGCAACGTTCGAAATTGATCGACCAAGATTCAATTTTTTTTACCTTAAATTGTTTTTTTATGATCCTAAAAATTGTCCCAACACACTAAAAATACGATAATTTTTGAGTAAAATAAAATATGAGAG